TCCTGCGGTCGTAAAGCGGCTCGTCTCCGTTCGGGAAGCGTGCGTCCTGCGTTCGTGCCACAAAAAGTGGATACTTGGGCGTAATTCTAACTGTAACATGTATGAACAGTACAATAAGCAAATATACATTTCGTTGTTGCCTTTGTAGTTTGATAGGTGTAATATCTGCATTTATTAATATCCATTTTGAGAAACTTGATCTTCGTTGATAATGATAAAAATTATCCCTCATCCAAATACAATAGACATCTGGAATTCTACGATTAATATATACGTACCTGTGAAATTATAACAGAAAACACTAGCGGGAAAACTATAGCAAACACCAATTTGATCCCATCCGTCAAATAAACAATCATCTAGACTGTCCTCCGTACCCTTACAGTCTACACCTGTCATCCAGACAGGGTCTGTAAGACTGCCATGACGGACGGTGCGATATATTTGATGACCATCGCTGAAAGATATATATAGAAAATCAGATTTTGAGATGCGAATAGCGAATAACTTAACGGTTGAGAGATAAATGGTATATTTATCCATGAAACTTGGAAGAAATTCATAAGAAAATTTGAAACAATACAGACAAATGATAAGTAATTAGATATTTTGGAGATTCAACAGAAAGCCTTATACAAGATATAATAATCTGAACACTAGTCAGGTTTCCGGAAGAAACGTTTTGCAGTTGGTATATTTTCTTTACTACTTAAAAGTAAACGTGGAACGTAGTTTTTACTTTTATCACATTGCAATATTTACTGTACATGTTTAATACTACACAGGGTGGCCACACTAGCATGAATGTCGGTACATTACCTGTATCCTAACATCCTGCACGTTACATTAGCGTCTCTGTCGTCCCAGTGGTATAGGCCACAAACACTTCCCCAGTAACCACTGTAGTACACTTCTACACGGCCCACATTGGGATCCGGACCTCCACTCAGGCGGATGTCAAAGTCTGTTTCTGTTCGAAGTTATGCTTACATTAAACAACAATCACATATCTGTTATGTGATCAGAGTCAAGTTCTCCCACTACTTACTTATATTAAAGTGTCTTCAAGAGTTATCGTTCCTGTCACTGTTTACATGTAGCTCTTTCAAACGGAAAATACGCAAAGAATTGATAAACACATGTAAAGATAATGTATAATAAAATGATTAAAAGGTATCTATGTAAGTTGTCATTAATGTCATATGTTGCAAGTTATTTGCATTCAGGTTTTAAATTGTGATGCCTTTTGTAGAAAGCATGTTCTGATATCTCGTCTATTTTGGATTTGGAGCTTATTACTTGGTCAAATTGTTTACGTTTTGATACAGAGTAAGGCAAATGGTCATTTTTACATATCTACTGCTATTCATTGAAGCGGTTGACACACTATGCCAAAAGGCTAGTCATTCCCATATTTCTAGTCACATATTGGTAATTTGGCTGGTCTTGTTGTGAGATAATAAATCCGTGATCAAAACACTGTCAAGCCTGCGCTAGCGATCACCATTATTGTGTAAGACATGCATATTATCGGTTTGTTTATGTGATCCTTTGCTCGGTCCCTCATGGTGTTGATGTATTTCAGACAAATTTATGTATGGATTGCATTATAATTGCAACTATTAAGAGCTAATTGCTATTGATCTATAATGCCAAGGGAACTTACTCTTTGTTGACTTGGGTGTTTAGGAATGCATGTACTGTTACTACAATAATTGTGTGCAAGATGGGTTTGACTTGTGTTGATATCATCATTTTATTTTGTAATTTTATTATTACCCATCGGTATGCATAATACAACTTATAATGAGCAGAATAAAATGTTTTTGTACATTTGTAGCAATAGCATTTCAATTTCTGTAATTTCGGTCTTCACTGACGGACTGATTGGCTGTACTGTATTGAATACAGTCCTACTGTTAACGAGACATCATGTCTTCTCTCGTCTTGTGATGACAGTAATATAACAATTCAGCTCGATAAAAATGTGAATTCAACGCTTACCATTATCCCTATAAATAAATTATTTGCAATGTCAAGATATTACATTTTAATAACAGCAATCCTTTTAAGGAGTTATAAAGTAGCTACATCTTATCATGTACATGATTTCAGATCAAACGTTTTACTAAAGAAATAGTGTTTCAGATATGCAAGACAATAACGTTTTATATTTTGTCCTCACTCAGATTTAAATTTAAATGTCGTCCTCATAAACACTTCTCTTTGAACAATACTAGCAAACAATCATACAATTCTATGTTGTTTTGCTGTTGTTGGTGGGTTGTTTTTGTTTAGGAGGGGGGGGGGGTTAGTTTTAATAGCCCTCATATCATCGTTTATTATGATTCATTTTAACAATTTTTGAGTTACCTTGAGGATACTGAACAACCATCCCTCAGTGGTGACAAAGGGGAAGCAATAACTTAAGTAACCTGCATTAACATTTAACACCATCTGAACTTTTATTATTGATACATACCTGTGACGTCATAACAGAACACACAAGCGGGATAGGTATTGCAAGAACCAACTTGACCCCATCCGTCAAAGGAACAATCAGCGAGACTGTCCTCCGTACCGTTACAGTCTACACCTGCCATCCATACAGGGTCTGTAAGACGGCCATAACGTAAGGAACGATATACGTGTTGGCCAGCACTGCAAGAAGACAAAGCGTTAAATAGATTTGTAAGAATATCTGTAAGTCATGAGTTTATTATGAACATTATTCCGCACAGATACCGAATGGTAACCGCGCAGTTTTGTATCCCTTGGTTTAGGACATATAATGTTAAAGAATGAAATGATATTGTTTTGCTAGGACTTCATCTTATTGTGTTTCGCCACGTTTTCTCACCCCTGCACGATTACTCGCCGTAATCGTGTTAGGAGTATACAAACACTGATTTTCGTTTTTGGTGATTGAGACATAGTTAGGCTTATTTATACATCTACCGCATGGTTAGTGTTAACGCAGCAATCTTAGCACGATTTGTTCACCAGGTGAGAAATCGTGTCGGACCGAGAAAGCGTAGTGGAACCAACATTCTGTGCATAGCTATAACAAACAAATATACTTACATGTTTCAGCGTACCATTACATTTTCATGTGCAATTTGGCCATAAGCAATGTCATTGAAGTTATATTAGTCAATTGATAAATATCAAACAGAGAAAATAAGATGAAGGATAGCCAGCATAGGCCTTAATACCTGAACAAGTTACTATAAATGACCAAATATTAATGCTCTCTCTCTCTCTCTCTCTCTCTCTCTTTCTCTCTCTCTCTCTCTCTCTGCTGTTGTTTTGATTAATAAGTTATACAGACATTTTTATGTGACATAGGGCATTTAAACAATATTTTGTATTTTACCACGGAACAGTGATATGAATACATGTATGCCTACTCCACATAAAACTCAACGCAAATATATAATTGAACTAGGCCATAATAAGATGACAATTTATTATAATGACATCATGACACAAACTATGAAAATGATGTTGACTGTCAATTTACATCCTAAGGTGGGGATTCGACAGAATTACGCTACATCAATACATATATAGATCACAAAACAAACAATACTAAAAGGGTGGCATGTTAGGGTGGGTTTTTCATAAGGCAAATTTGGTATTATTTCTAAAAAGATGCTGCCACCAAATGGCGCCATTGACAATTTTCTTAAAAATGAATAAAGAGGCCCACAGCCAATCAAATTGTAGCGTGGGATGTTAGCCAATCAAAATCCTCAAAACAACAGAGGCACCAAGAAGGTGGGAGAGGCACCCTAAGAGAGCTATGTTCGTAGCAGCCTTTTACCAATACCTGTCAAACAGTCTAATGGAGGGTTTATGTGTCGCGACATAAAATCAGCTATGTATATAACATCATTCTTTGTATTATATATTGTATATATCTATTCATCTTTTATAAATGTAAAGATGTATTGAATGTGTGCTTTAAAGACATCATTTGTTTTCATGGTAAATATCATCCATATCTGTTTAGGTCGCATTTTGAGGGTCATTTTGTGAAGACCATTTCCTTTTTTATTACATTTTTTTTTTATTGTGGAATTAAAATGTACAGTCCTGAAGTGTTAATTGCCCATCATACAACGCACAAACGCGAACTTTTGATAATTTGGGGACTTGGCCCGGATGGTAACCAAGCAAACATGTGTGTGACAAGGCAACATGACGGATTATAGGAGTTTATGGCATTGGAAGCGAAGAACCGTAAAGGCGGTAGACTGACAGAGGTGCGAGGAGAAAACTACGAATGGAAACAAATCTCGCCGCAGTATCAAAGGGATATCAGGGGAGAATCATAACTAAGTATGGAGGTGAGTCTACAACAATCTTAAATAATCCTAGCTTACGATCCAAATATTTTCCTTATCCGTATATTATCCGAAGGGTAATTATTTTACCTCTAATTCACTGTCTAAATTTAAAATTCCTACTCAACATCAACTGAGATTTACTCAAGTTAACCTTAAAACCGTCCAACTGCACACTTGCAGAAAGAAACCTTTATAACTCCAAGGTTTATTTGTTATTCACCACACTACATTTTTCACGTGGCTTTTCGATTGAAAACCTTATGTAATCTTATCGTACAGACAAATGTACGTCCTTGTTCCTTGTACAATGTACACGTTGTGTTATCCCATACCCGATAACAGTAGCAAGCATGGTTAACTTATGCACACAATTATTTGTAGGTAAAGAGGATATAAGACCAATCACCATTACGATTCTTATTTCCCCTCCACATAATCAATATAAAGATACGACATAATTCTAATTTTCGTGATAATCGTCATGATGCTTTTTCCCTGTTTAGCGTATTGTGTATCTTGGTCGAAAATTGTTGGCAAGTTTCCAAGATTTGACTGTGACACATTTGTACAAAACCGGTTAGTCATCTGCTTGTTGTCTACTGTATCATCATTGAGTTCGGGTTTTTCCTTTGCGTATCGATGCGTTAGTATATTTACGTTCTCCTCCGCTAGTGATAACACATTTTTCTGTAAGAAAGTAATACAGTCTCGTTTTTTTTTATTTATGATATCATATACATGTACATCGTAATGTATATCACTATTGTTAAGGTAGGTTTTCTGTATAAGTTAACCTTTTTCGTTTTCATTCAAATGGCAAGCGTTGGGCATTTTATGCACCCTGGAAAAAGGCAAATTCAGTGAAGTGCGCTTTACGCTGAACTTGCCTTTGTCCAGTTCGGCATTCATATTGAAAGCAGTTTAATACTTATTTTTATCACTTTTGATATATGTTTATCTCATCCATAGACATTTGAACTTCAATTATTATGATTCGGCAATCTGTTATGGGAGGGTCTGTGGTTTCCAACGTTACAAATATGACCTCATAATGCTGTTGTAATTGCAGATCCCCTCGGTTAGGCTAAAATTACTATAATTAGCATTCGGTTACAAGCTAACGAGGGGATATGCAATTACAACAGCATGTTTTATATAAGAAACTTCTGTTTTTTTATGTATTTTTATTGTATTATTGTTTCAAGGTGACCGTTTTTTCTCTGTTTTATGTTGTGATATTGTCATGTTCCTGTCTTGATAAAGAGGCATATCGCATAAACATTTGACAAATGTCTTTGTCTGCACTGTCGTTATTACTTCTTTGTTGTCATATATATATATATAAAGGTCTCATAAGTTATAACGACAATATACGTATGATCCAATATTGGCACTGAACCCAAACAAACAAACTGTAGAGTTACATCAGTGGAACTGTTTATTCATGTTGACAGGACATCAACACAACTCAGAAAGTGATAACGTCATGATACATTATGACGTCACAATACAACCTACCAAAATTGACGCCAACATTAGCAATGCACTTTAACATCAACATTTGAGGAACAACAACAATAGTGTTAAATACATAGATACATGTACATATACTAACAGACATGAGTATAGCAACAGCCTTTTCACATACATTTTATGTATATATTCATGCAACGATCTGTGCTGTGTGAACAGTTAAAACTTGTGTATATATTGATATCTTTGAATCAACAAGTATCAACGACGTATATCTACATCAGAAATCAATCGGTATCAGTTACTCAGTATGGGTATTCACCGTTAACATAGCCTTTCGTTTATAGAAAACTCGTTTAACTTTTAAAAGCTACTCACTGTTGGAAAATAATATAAAATTTACCTGTATCAGCATATCGCACGTGTCGGTATTACAACTGTATCAGTACCGTATCTGCATTAGTAACACATATATATTATCTCCTTTCCATATATAAACCCGGACGAAACCGGCACTCACCTGTATCCGATCATTCTGCACAGAACTAGAGCATCATTTTGTCCCCAGCCATCACCACACACAGAACCCCACTCTCCCGCATGGAAGACCTCCACTCGACCAGAATTTTTTATATCACCGTTTACCAAGCGGACATCAAAGGGCAAAGTGGTTGTCAGACCTGTTCAATAAAATACAATGTCATTTGATACTTATTTAATTCAACTGTAAAATAAATTATACATGTGTGTTTCAATTTCAAATTATTTAGATCTTTAATTAGTATTTGTTTATGATCGCGTTCAGATCCTGCATATTCCATTTTCTTTATTAATAGCTTATTTTCTAATATTCTAGATTGATAAAATTCAAGAAAACCATCCATTTTAACTTTTTAAATCTGATGTAAGAATGCATAATAACACACACTATGCAAATTAAGGTATACATTTATAAAACCAGTTAAAAGTGCACAGTCAACTGGGAGTGATAATCAACCAGCTGTATTAGCCACCCTGTTACGTATTTTTTTTTACTAGCAATATAGATTAAGAGAAACCTATCTCTGTTCGATGACGATCGTCAAACAAAGGAAAGATGTCTACATGTTTCAAAACACTTTAACGTTATCAACTTTTCATTATCAAGAAGAAAAAAACCGCATACACGATAAAAGAAAAGCATTTAAAAATGAGACTTGTGTCTCATGGTGTATGAGAAGGCATAACAGATTCGAGAGACAAAACAGTTATTATAATTCGATATGTATGATAAATCCAGATCTCAACAACTATAAGATATGTAAAGGAGGCACGGTAGGCTCGTGGTAGGAAGCCGGGCTCGTGACCGAAGGGTTGCGGGTTCGAGTAACGACACGGCACTGTGTTGTATCTTTGAGCAAGATACTTTACTCAGCTTGTTCCTTCTACTCAGATGTAAATGAGTACGTGGTTGGGCAGCGCTAGAATGGTTGAATGTAAGCTGTTAGCGCCGAAATGACAGCTCCGGCTGTATGCTCCCCACCCAGGGAGTTGAGAAAGATATTGGCTGGTTGCAAAAGCCCTATAACCATGGATGATGATTTTTGAACCGCTTTGAGACGACCTACGAACTAGTTTGTGATAAAGCGGTATATTAGAATCTCGAGTTATTATTATTATTATTAAAATCAGACGAACAAATGATAATCACTAGACCTACGATTATCAATAAAAAATACTATATGCATAAGCAAACAACACTGAGATGACAACTATAACTTTAACTGAATGTAAATTAATGATAATAAAGTCACACCAATGCATTGGAGTACTTACCGAGAGTGTGAGTATAAAGGCCGGCAAGTATTACCAGTAGTAAGCAGGGGGTCGGAGCCATAATTCACAGCCCACCGCTACCTCTGAATAAACCAGACTAACACCAGGTGTAGGCACGGAAGCTTCATGCAAATGAGCACACTATATGTACCACGCATCAGTAGGGGAACTACCTGCCAAAGCGCCCACAGTCAACATCACACGTACGTAGGGAGGCTACTTATACGTTAACATAGTACAAACACAGCATGTGAAGCGTATACAAAAGAAAACGCCATGCCAGTGTGGGTATGCTTCCTAATTCAATAGCATATGCTTAAGTGCCAACACAAGGTTAAAATATACTACAGCGTCAATACACATCAACAAAGTGTACTACAGCGTCTACACACAAGGGCAGTATACAGTCAACACACGGACAAACAATATCGCATGGTCAACGCACAATGACAAACAATTACACGCATACCATATCAACACAATAGGACAAAATAAACCGCAGCATCAGCACAAATTGACCATCTTACTATACATTTGTTGTTTCCGTTTAGGGAGAAACTCTTGATGGATCTTGTCATTAATGAACTGCGTAAACTTACGGAAACTGACACAACAAGGACAGTCTCATGTTACCCCATGGGTAACGGCGTGGTTGAGAGATTAAATCATTTGAAGATGAACAGAAAGCTGATTGGCCATCAAATTAAACACCGCTAACACAAACTTAACATGTGGCATGCAACTACAGGATATGTACCACATTATTTAATGTTTGGTGACATCCGGGATTAGCTGTAGATGATTAATAAGGGTTAAACAATCCGGTATTGAAAGCTTTGTCAACAGAAATATATGTCAATATACTATAAAGGAAATGACTGACGTTTGATTATTGGGTAGCACAGCGTGCTACTGAGCAGTAAAAAGTAAGATACAATTTTGACAAAAATTAAGGAATTCTTATCTTTGTGGTGGAGACCGAGCCCTTTTCAGGAGTGTTGGTCTGAAAAGGGAAACAAAGTTGCTGACATATTGAGACTCTTCTACTGTTTTAGCTACCATGTGATGGAATCCCAGTGTCAATGCTACAAAAGGAAGGGGCCACCATGGAACAAAGACACAATATACCATAATCTAAGCTAAACATTTCACAATATACCCTACAATAAGCTCATAAAGACACAATATACCCTAACATTAGCTAACAATGGCACAGCATAAGTATCAGGAGACAAAACGAAATGAGATACCTAAATATTAGGAAAGACGTGAGGAATTCTGACAACAGTGGATGTACTGTGTCACGTGACATTCATTTTATATTTGTAATTCATGTGAAGTACGATGTGTAAAAAAATCAAGCTAACAATAATATGTAAATAAAGGTTAGGTTTTGCGACACAAACAACATTTTTAGTGTCAAGGTTGTCAATCAAACTACGTTTATTCATTTGACTCTTGTGTGCCCCGGGAACAAACAGCCAATCCTCTCTTGCGTTTCTTTCTTTTAGCTACCTCCCTTAATTCTTTTATCGTCCATTATTTTGTTGTAAGTCAAAATGGTCGGACTTTCAAAGAAAAGAAAATCTTTTAGGCGCTTTAATGGCAGGTTCCAACAACAATAAATATAAAGTTGATCAAAACTCAAGTCAGAGTTAAGCTTGAATCAAAGGGAATCTTACTCATCAATGAAAAGGTAGTCATACAATCCAAGTCAAATGTGTATTTTTTAATACGGATGCATCACCAGTTTACCAGGTTTGAAATGTTAAAATACATCGGTTGATACATGACAAGTATTCATACATGTTAATATTATGGCAGGTCAACAATCAAAGTCTTTATTCAATATATATTTGCAGCTGAAACACGCCCCTTCCAAACAAACGAATATAATGGTAAAGTTAACTGTGCTTTGACACCTTGATCGACCTGTTCAGCAGTTATGCCTAGCAGGAAGTGGGCAGGTAGTAATGTTGCACAAGCTTTCTACTGTAGACATTAAACTGATCCAATGAGCACATAGTTTGACCAAGATATATAATTTCTGGGGTTAGACGACATGTGGTAAATTCTGATGCGGTTTTGTAACATTAGGTTAACAGATCACATAGCTGCCTTTCCCAGCTTACATATATAACAAAGCTGCGTTTAAGAAGGGAAATTTAATACTTATAACAAGTCTTAACTCTGTTGTAAAACGTAAATACATTTGTATATAATAACCTCTCAATTCTTGACTATTCGAAAACTGTTTGTCTGTTCTAAAAGATACACTAACCATAGAGAGAAGAGCTAGGGTGAGGTCCCCGTGATTTCTACAACATTTAATCCCATTTTCCGTATGGAAGGTTTACATACAGTTGATTCCATTTTGCCTCAGGATGCTCTTAACCAAATTGGGTTAAAATTCCCCTAGTTTTACAAATGGCTGGTCGGTGAGGTGATGTAGAATGATTTAGAGCTGTTGATATAAGTTGTTCCATAACTGTTGTAAATTTAACGTTAAATTTTTTGATTGAAGATATCAAAGGATATCCCTATTACAAATCCCAATTCATGGAAGTTTATTCCGCCCCTTGCAACATGAACAGATTTTATTTTTACTTGGCATTCTGTTTGACTATTTGGTAATACGAGACGTCCAATGGGCCTGCATCGCTCTCCTGGTTGTTATCTTACAATTGTCACCTTATAAGTGGTCTAAAATAAATTATCAGACACAATATTATTGGCTTAACATGAAGTCATTCAACACAAACCTGCTCAAACATTTAAACGTATTTGACCCCTGTGACCTTATAAGTGAAAAAGTTGAATATCTTTATAGCCCCTCATCACAGAACGTAGCTTGCCAAACATCACCACCTTAGACCATTCGTTCATTGAAAATATGTATACACAATTGATCAGATATGACTTTGAAGTATGGTTCATATGAGCAAGCGCATGGTAACATATCACGTTCCTTTGCATTTTGGTTATTCAGAAGAAATCGTTGAAAGATTTCAAAATATTTTGCCCCCTGTGACCTTGAAAATATGTGAATGTCATTCGTCTGAACGAACTTGGTAGCCCTTCATCTCAGCATACTACTTGCCACATATCGTCACCCTGGACCTTCTGGTTATCAAAAGATTTTAACATATTTGACCTCTGTAACCTTTATACTGAGTGGATGTCATTCATTTAAACAAACTACGTAGCTCTTTATCTAATAACTATACTTGTCAAATATCAACACCCTAGGCCTCCTAATTATTCAGAGACATTATTATATGATTTAAACACAGTTAACCCCTTTGACCTTGAATAAACGTCAACATAATCCATTTGATCAAACTTGGTAGCCCTTCATCCTAGCATTTAACTGGCCAAATATCAACATCTTAAGCCTCTTAATTATTCAGAAAAAAGGCGTTTAAAGGTTTAAAACATATTTGAACCCTGTAACCTGTAATAAAGTTCAAAGTCATTCATTTAAATGAACTAAATAGTCCTTTATCCCAGCATATTACATGCCAAATATCATCACCCTATGCATCTTGGTTATTCAGGAGAAGTTTTTTAAAGGTTTTAAACATATTTGACCCTGGTGACCCTGGAAACGGGGGAAGGTCATTCAGTTGCACACAATTGATAGTCCTTTATCCTAGCATAATACTGTCCAAATACCATTACCCTAGGTCTCTTAATTATTCAAAAGAAGTTGTTCAAGGGGTTTAAACATATTTGACCTCGGTGATATTAAATATAAGTCCTCTTGGTTATTCAGAAGATGATGTTAAAAGATTTTTAAAATATTTGTCTCCTGTGACCTTGAATATGAACAAACTAACTTGATAGCCCTTCATCTTAACATGCCACTGGCCAAATATCATCATCCTAGCCGTTTTGATTTCTTCGACGAAGTTGTTTAAATTAAAAAGTTGACGCCGGACGGACGATGGACGCCGCTTTGCGGCATAACAGGTTGACGATAATCAAGCGAAAAATGTTGACGACAGACGACGGACCACGAACGCCACGCCACAGGAAAGGATCACTTTGCACTTCGAGCCATGTGAGCTTAAATCGTAAGTTTATAGAATGGGGAAAGAGTTTAATGAAATGAAATTATCTTATGAAAAGCACGACCGACAAATGACTTGACATTAAATACGTATTCATCAACAAAATCCCAAATCATTTCTGTCAGAACAAAGGAAGACTAGGCCCTAGTGCGTATAAACACCCTTCTGGATGTTAACAAGGAACCCTTAATACTTAGGTGACTGTATTACTCTCCTTTTCTGTGACAATTTTGTCACTGAATATTATTAACATATACAAATATTTAGTGTAAAATAATAATAAAAATGTACTAGGCTAGTGATTTTCAATTTTATGTTAGCGGATTAGAAAGACTGCGAAGTCACAGCGGCAAGTCAATGTAGTGAAAACAAGACGAGGTTGTTTTTGCCCGTCTCCTAAAATGTCACAGTGCAAAGTATGTCATGAATAGTTTTGAAAGCACTTAATGTAATATTGCACTCACCTGGAACAACAACCAGAAAATTGCTATCATAACAAGTCTTAAATATCTTCTTTTAAACGTTCATACATTTCAAATATATATAATAACCTCTCAATTATTGACACCTTGAAAACTGTTTGTCTGTTCTAAAAGAAAAAAACTAATATAAGAAGAGAGAAGAGCTTAGATGAGGCCCCCGTGGTTTATTCAACATTAAATCCCAAGGACACTCTATATCCTTTTTGCTGTATGGAAGGATACGGATTTAAGATGTCATCTATTTACTATTGACCACACTAAACATAATTGAGTCCCTTTTTGCTAAAGGATGCTCCAGATAATTAAGTTAACAATCCATTTACCTCTATTTCCCCGTAATGGACCCCGTCCCTGTGACCGAGAGTATCATCATCTTTTATTTACATATTTCAGAATTTTCAGAATATAAAATCAATAAAATGAACAAGTAACATACACATCAGACTGATAAATTACACCCATAAAGTTCACAGCAGCTATGAAACACCACTCATAGCTATCATATACGACACTCAGGGCTATAAAACACCACTCAGAGCTATTATATACGACACTCAGAACTGTAATATACGACACTCAGAGCTATACTATACGACACTCAGATCTATTATATACCAAACTCAGAACTATAATATACGACACTAAGAGCTAGAATATACCACACTTGAAGCTAGAATATACCACCCTAAGAACTAGAATATACCACACTCAGAGCTATACTATACCACCCTCAGAACTAGAATATACGACA